CGGCACAGCGCGACGCGGTGCGGCCGACCGAAAAAAACAAAAAAAAAAAAGGACACAACCGCCTTAATGAAACCTCCGCCCTGACACCACTGCCGGCCTGAGTTACGAACGCCTTTTCGAACTCAGGCCGTGACACAGTCGCCAAAGGCCTGTTTTCCGTGCCTTTAGGAACTCAAAACATGCCGCATCCGCCGTTGTTTCTTATTTTTATTATTATTCCTATCGACATACAAAGAAGAATAGAAAAATCTATTTCTCAATTAAATAGATTTATGTCCCAAATTTATATTTCTAAATAGTATCCAATACTAGGCTACCAGCCGGGCCTCCCGGGTCACACTTTTTCCCGGGCGGGCCGGCCGTGCAAGGACCAAGGGAAGGTCCCAGCCAAAAAAAAAAAAAAACTCAAAAAAATGCGAAAGAACAACTATGTTATGCAGAAAAAAAAATTGAACAACTTTTGCCTTAGGGTCACATCAAAATTCTTTACCAAATTTAAAATTCAATTTTTATTTCTTTTTGGCCCGGCCGGGCCAATGGACCCGGGCCACGACGGTAGCCTAGATCCAATATGGATTATGAATTTATGATTTTAATTTATTATACATTAAATATTTTATAAATTAAGTATACTGCAAGGAGTATAAAAATATATATTTTTTCTTTTTCTAGAAATTACGTTTTAGAAACTTATTTCTATTTGACGATATATATATATATTTTTTTCTGGTTATTGGATTGATAATAAGTACAAAAACAAATTTCGTGCAACTTACTAGAAATTTAAGAAATCATATTCAATATGATGCTTTAAAAAATAAAAACTTGTCTTTGTTTATAGTCCCTTCCTTAAATAATATTTTAATCAATTTCGTATGGAGTTTGTTTTTTCTTAGTTTGTAGGGACCAGGCTGAGCCTTTCAGGATAGGCGAGACTCGAACCATCGTGAGTTGCTTGGTTGGTGTCTCGGCGGTAGAAGGCTTTGTCACGTAGTGTAGGACTTGAACCGTCGCGAGTTTGGCTTGGTGTGGCGTGTCGGCGGGAGAACTTGCATGTTTGTTTGTTTGGTATGACTCGAACCGTCGCGAGGTGGATTTGTGTGGAGTGGTGCGGTGACAACGGTTGTAGCGTTGTAGCGTCTTTGAAGAAATGCAAAGTTTGACGTCGCGGATAAATGGACTATTCACGTAGGATAGTCCCTCTTTCGCCGTGAGGCGTCACCGCGACAGGGGGTTGGCGGGATGGCATGGTCGTCTTCCGACCATGGGGTTTATGGTTTAGCATGGTCGCGTGCTTCACATCCTTTCATCTGTGCTTTCACAATATTTCACGATCAGCCTTTCCCTTGGTTGATGTGTTGGAAAAATATGAAGATGCTGGATGTGTACATACAACGTTTGCTTCGGTTTGTGTGTCGTTGACTACATGGCGGTTTCGGACTGCGTGTGGTTTCTAATGCTTTCCTATCATCTAAGGTCGTAACCTGCTAGGCGATTGTACCTGATGGTGGTGGCGGCTTCAATTGCAACGGAGAGTTTGCAACAAAGATTTGGAGGAGGAAAATAAGATTTGGAGTATCAAGGAGACAATGGAAGCTTCAAGAAGAATATTAGATTGGTTAGCCAACTTAGCCTCTAGAAGGCGACAATAGTTTGACTATCGCGATGGCTGACGAGGGTGAGTTGAGGCAAGGGAACGGAGCGAACTCTGGGCTCCCGTCGGATGGACGGAAGTGTTATAAGTGTGGGGAAGGCGGATACTTCATTCGAGAATTTGCTGAATTTTGGCAGGCGAAGGCACTGGGTCGTACTTTTGTCCCGAGTACACAAGCTACAAAGTTCAACATGTCGTGCACTGGGAGAGTAGCTCCTGGTGCTAGCATCGGTATTACCACCCGCCATAGCAGATCAGCCGATATCGTGAGTGAGAGCAGCGAGGGCGCGGATGAGACTAACGCCCTCATGCGCGAGTACTTTGTCCAAATGGCAGAGGAACGAAGAGCTAGAATTGAAAGGGAAGTGGAAGAGGATACGCGACGAAGAGAAGAGGAAGTCCGGATGAATAAGGAAAAGAGGAGGATGATGGAGCAGGAAGTTATGAGGAAACGAGGGGACGAAATGGATGCAAGGTTGGTGTGGATAATTCGAGGGGAGATTAAGAAAAAAAATGGTGAGGAAGAGAGAGTTTTTTTTAAAGGGAAACGGCTTGTTAAGAACCGGTGTGACACGATCAAAGCAGAGACGAAGAGACTGCGTTGGAGGATAGCAAATGCCGCTATCGAGGATACCGAGGGATGCGATGACGAGGAGCTGATCACGCTGAGGAAACACGCATCCAAGTTGGAGTTGGCTGAGAAGCGGAAGAGAGGTTTGGATCTACCGATAGGGAATAACCCTCCACTGGTTACTCTAGAGAAGCGATCCAACAAAGCTATCAGAAGAATCCAAGAGGAGAATCGAGCAACTCAAAGGAGACCAGACAAGGGACGTTGGCGGAACCAGCACTCCAGGAAAGATTAACCTATCACTAAAGCACATCATGGCTTCGTGTGATCCAGGCAGGAACGAGAAGTTTGAACAAGAGTGCTTTAACTTTTATGACGCATTGAATATCGATGAGTTGAAAGAAGCACGCCGTCGGGAGAAGGTAACATATGGGAATAGGGAGGTGACTATCAAGTGTTTGATCACAAGAAGATCAGCGACAACGTATGATCCAGCTACCCTACCTCTTCTTGCAACTCCCGTGGTGAAGACTAGAAGTGCATAGGGAATAACCTTCAAGGAAGAGAACAAGTCTGACATCTCATTGTCTTTTGACAGTGAGGACGACTCGGTGTGAGGTGTTGGTCGTTGTGACGAGTACTATGCATTAGCTGAAAAACTGAGAAGACGAAGGGCTTGTAATCAAGGTAAGAAAGATGATGAGAGGGTACTTCGGGCGGCAATCATTGGTTTTATCTTGAGTGGAAGGTTAGCATGGGGAGAAAAGTTTGTTAGTAACTGGCTTGACGAAGTAGGAAAAGGGAGCTTTGACCTGGCGGATCCTTCTAGCTGCGTGTATGTGTTGATCTCTCCGAGGTACAAGCAAGTGTATATTGGGTTGACTGAACGGAGTATGTGGGCACGCTGGAAGGAGTACTCGAGACATGGAACGAACAGATGTAGACGCCAACGAATTTTGTACAACTGGCTAGGAAAGGTTGGGGCACATCAGTATGTAGCTCTATCGTTGTTTACTAGCGTTGTCGAGTTGTGTGTCCGATTTTGAATTCAACGCGGGTTCCGCGTTGAAAAATTCAACATGTCCGATTTTGATTTCAACGCGGGTTCCGCGTTGAAAAATTCAACGCACGTTGAATTCACGTTAAACTCCCATTCAAACGCGCGTTGGACGCAAATTAACGGGGTCCGCGATGATTTTTTTCTTGAGCTAAAAATTATCAAAAAAAAAAAAAAGAGGGGGTTGTAGGTTTTTTTGAGTATTACAACCCTATATTTTTATTTTTATTTTTTGATGTTTAAATATATTTAAAAAAAATAAAAAACATAAACACACAATAAAAAAAAACAAAAATTAAAATGAAATGAGTGTTTTTTTTTTGGGTTTCACACATATTTTTTAAGGGCTAAAACAAAAACAAAAAAGCAAATAAAAAATATAGGGTTGTA